GGGGGGGTTCGAAGTTCCCAACAAGAATATAAAGTCCCCCGACTAGTGTTCGAAATTCACATCAGCCCTAAATTCCTGGAAATGGCACTCAGATTGTAAACATATCCTATTAAAGCAGTGTTCCCTGACGAATTACTGTAATTGGTTTCTATCCAGGCGGAGTCCAGGGTTCCCCGCGGTTATGACCTCCTTGTACTCCTACATCCTCATCTGGCTTTTCATCTTAATTTAAATACATTTTTACCTTTATTTTCATGTGAATTAGAATACCATTGGAGATTAGGTGGAATCACGATCCACTTTGCATGGGACAATAGCAGAAGATGCTATTATATAATCTTTCCTAGGAATTTGAATCATCAAGTGTTCAATGACAAACCTATGGTAAATATAGGCCTAAATCATTTCTTGTATTCTTGTACATTATAATTATTTCTGAGGAGGTGTGGACTCTCACACACCCCTGCCAAATCATGCATCCGCCCCTGAATTTAAAATTGGAAAAGAAGAGTCTATCTAAATGATGTATTAAAATAGGCCTCAGTACTGTAGTACTGCATACGTAGACTATGCCTAAGCTAGAGTAGTACTGTTTCAGCTACCGTATGATTTCTCTTATTTATAATATATAGGCCTACTACTATTCATTTTGGAGATACTCTTGGACTGGGACCCTAGCTAGAGGATTGCCAGAAACACCGAATTTCTAAGGTGTCCTGTGCATAATATGCCTAAGCCCAGTCGCCTATTTTTTTTTTTATAGCATAAGAATGGCGATGATGTACGCCTAGCTAAGGCGCTTCGCTATTTTTGGTCAAGCAAAAAATACATGTATAACAGCCTATGAGAATCAATTTCTTTTTGAATTTTGTTATAAGCTTCAAACATCATCTTTAATGATTTACATATAATTTAACAGTGTTTTAGGCCAAACAAAATAAATTGTTTGTTTGCCCTTTAAAAAAAAAAAACATGATAAATAGAGGAGGGTGGAACAAGTTTTTATTTATTTATTTATTTTTTTAAAGATACTCATCAGATGGAATAAAAATAACCCACAGAGGCCTAGGACGGCCATATCTTAAATCAGACAACTTTAAAATAATTTGTAGGGCATCTGGCAAAAAATAAAGATAAATTCACTCACATTTTTTTTAATTTGTAAAGAAAAAAGCTAAAAAAACTTTAATAATTTGTTTTTTGTTTTTCCGCCCCTATTTTTACAGTGTGTTAGGAGGGGGTGAGGAGGGCCTTATAATATAATAGTATATATGCTGGTAATGAATATCAATTGTTGAAATTTCATCAAATTTAAGAATCGTATATATGATTTTCCTAGATGTTATTTGTGTTTGATTGTATTAGCGATTTACTACCAAACACGAACTATCTCCTGAGAGTTGCTGCATCACCAATTCCTACTAAAAATAAGGAACGCTATCAATGGGAAGATTTTATCACTACCCCTCAGAGTAAGTACCATTATACTAGACTGAATTCCTATTTATTGGCAATATTTTTTCATTATAGATTAAAAAATATTAAAGTTGTCTAAGCATGTAACATTTGAAGCTAAGACTGGTTGCAAGGTACGGTATATAAAATGTGGATTTGAAAATTTCCCTTAATAACATAACTATAGGCGAGTAGAGTTGCCGAGTGGTAAGGTACGGTGCCGCTAAAAAGCCTTAACATCGGCGTTGGTTCGTGCCGCTCGCATTATTTTTTCCCCATACACTTAAGGCAGAAATTAAACAGGGCGCTATCTTAGGTCAGTTAGGTGAACCGATATATAGGCCTACATGAATAAATTATGCATGCAGACTTCCCCTTGCGAGTCGCGAAAGCAGTGTTCGCTTCGCTGCATGTGGAATATGAAATTGCCTGTGATGTGAAACCTATTGTAGTTCGTATGCCAAAATATCTTGGAATTTGGTCGAGACAGTGTAGTCGACACAGTGAAAATTAATGGACTAATGTTTAGTATTGTAATTATAATATACCTATGCCTGACACTGTTTACGTACAGCATGATCTTTGAAAGTTGTATAAAAAGCAGCGTTGAAGCTGGTCGGTTATTTGAGTAATGTAGTAATGTAAAGTGGACAGTATGGCATACATACCAACGAAATGTTTGATTGTTTTTGTTACAATGTTGATTTCTCACAAACATTTCGTTCATATTCAATATAAATGAAAGTAATAGGCATACATTTATATAGCAATAAACATTGATTATACCAAATCAAAAATATGCTATATGTCGTACTGTTTATATTAAAGGCTGTCTAATCAATTAGAAAAATTGAAAAGCTTATTTACAATGATCGAAATCAGATGGAAGTTAAAAAAACAACTTTCACTTAATTAACAGAAAAAAATTCCTTAAGTTACCAGGCAATGAATCATGTAAAAACATACAGCAAATACGTTCACTGTCTGTTAATTGACAGGGATTTTTTCTCAAAAAAATGTTTAATTGTGAAATCGTAAGACTTAGCTCTTTGCGTAACTTGTCTCCGAGTATTTCTAAACGTCTATATCCTTCATAATCAGAATATAGGGGGCATACAATTGCTGCAACATATTTCATATCTGGATACTAGGCCTATGCTCAGCGGCACCG